TGATGAGATCCGCTGGCATAGTTTTGGGCTTGCTGTGGCTGTCCCGATTGCTGTGATGTGTTCGGAGGGCGGGGCGCCTGAGGGTGCTGCGGAGACATGTAGGGGGGTGCGGTACCCCTGGGAGGAGGGTAGGACATTTTCCACTTCCGGGGTCAAAGAAGTGTCTTGGCTTGATTTCTGTGATGCGCACGTGTGTTGTACGGTATGGGTGTGGGAAACGGAGGAAATGTTAGCCCTAGGCAAGCAGGGCAGAGGCACTCTGTGACAACAATGGGACCCCTCAAGCCCGTTCTTAAAAACGCGGACAGCGACTTGAGCGAACATAGGTAACAGACAGCACCGCCAGAGTCTTGCCATCCCACTTCACCCCGAGGCAAAGATGCTCCCGACAAGGGGAGACGACGTCCCGGGGACGGGGAAAGGTTCTCATTCGACGGTACGAAAACGCCTTTCACGGGGCTCAACTTAAATCGGCTTCGTAGCATGTCTAGGCCCGATGACAGACCGATAAACAAGAAGAGGAACAAGTCCATTCCGTTTCCCACGTGAGCGACCCCCGGTCCTCACGTGATCATGCAAGGTGGATGCCGTGCACCCCCTGGAAGGAGGGTGGGGGCGTCGGAATGCTCGACGGACAGGAACTAAATTCCAATCGGGGCCATGGGCTCACTTTCTCATGCGATGACCAGACATTACCCCGGGAGGTGAGCTTGCCAGCCCCCATGTCCGCAAACCACCGCCGCGCAGTGCGTGCGTGCGTGCGTGGGGCACAGGTATAGACCTGCCATCTACTGTCTCAAGCATCGAGGAGTCGTGCTTATTACTTGGAAATGCACGGAGTGCAATTTTCCGAGACTTTTTCCCCTCCGCCCACTCCCACATAACGGATACGAAACTCCTTCTTCTCAGATGCCCTGATACCGTCCACGCCGCACGTTGTGTCTTCGTGCGACAACCCCCCCAATATGTATTGCTGTGTGTTGAACACCCGCAGCTGAGTGAGCATGGAGCATTTTACTGCGATGTCCTCTGTCTCTGTGGGGGGGCGTACTACCCTTCGGGCGTGAAGTCGAAGTTGACTTTCCTGCTCGTTGGGAGCTGCAACAACAAACTTTTGCCTCATATTATCAAAAAGACCGTGCTCTGGCATCATGCAGTATGCCTTCGACAGTATTTGACGCCTTTGTTGTGGCATTGAGTGCAGGATGCGCGCGGGACTTTGGTAAATATGGACTTAGTTTCACCATCGTGTTCCAAGCATGAAGTGGCGGCTCTCCCCCCTCGAATACGTCGGCTAGGACGTGGGGCCTCTTCCCCTTCCTGATCATTCGCTTTACCCCTTTCGTCTTCACACACATGGACACAGGCTGCACAATTGTCGTGGAGAGAATGCTGCGGTCCTCTACGCTCCTCCGGGGCTTGGCGTCCAAAGCCGCCGGCGCCGGGAAGAAACCCACCGTTGTATTCGTCGACGGAGCTCGCATCCCTTTCGCCCAATCCTCCACCGTGTACAACGACTACCTGGGCGTGGACCTACAGAAATTCGCCTACAAGGGTCTGGTGGATAAAACGGCGTTGGACCCGAAGGAGATCGACTACATCCTG